CACACAGGAGATCTGCAGTAACTAACAGAGCCAGACCACGGCGTGGTGATTACGGCGCTGGATCCCACGTGGCCGCTACACAGTTCGAGTTCCAGATCTGGCAACGTAAAAACACATGCCAGGCAGGGTCAGGAGGTGGCATGGTGGCTGAGGTGCTGGACTCCCACGTGGTTGACTGCAGATCGAGTCCTGTACCCAACAACTTGAAAATCACTCCAGGCACATGTGTATGCATGCCCCAAATCCCTAGAGGAGAAGAGAAGGGATTGCAGGGAGGCCATCTCCTCGAAGGCTGATTTCTCACTTTCCCTTTCTCTGTGTCTCTCTGTTTCTCTCTCTTCAGCTAGTACACATATCTTTGGCAAAAACCTAAAAGCAAAACAAAACAAAACAAAATGCCAGGCACGTGTGCATGCATGCCCAGAATCCCGGGAGGAGAGTAGAGATGGAGGGGAAGGGTTTCTCACTTTCCCCCTCTCTCTGTCTCTCTCCAACAAGTACAGGCACCACATGGCAAATTAAAAAGCTAATAATAAAGTAGAGCCATCATAACATTCTGCAGTGTGAGCTACAAGGATGTTCTCTCTCCCTCTCTAACACACAGGACTGGACCTCAGTCAGCAGGGAGTAACTGAAGCGGATATGGAGGTTCCTGTCCTGTCTTCAGTGCTGGTGGAGTAGATTCTGTCGGGGAGAGAGTGCAAGCAAAGCTGGAGACCAGGAAGGAGGCCCGGGTCCGTGGAAGCACGGGGTTGCCACCGATTGAGACAGGCGGCCTGTGGGAGGGCAGGTTTCGGTTCTGCAGCTCAGGGGCGCTGTCTCACAGTGCTTGTGAAGGCCCCGACACTGTTCCAGGGCCTCGGGATGCAGCGAAAGGAGAGCCCCTGACGTCTCATTGCTGTTGTCACATGGTTTGAATACCAGCCTTGCAGTGGACTTACCGGGAAGGTCCGAGCCAATGCCATCAGGCTGCCTGCCTCAGTTTCCCCATCTGTAAGTGGGCTGGCCATCCCTCCCTCCCCAGGCCACTGTGAGGCTCCCTTGAGTAAGGCGCCAATCAGAGCTCATTCCTGTCCTGCCCAGCCCTGTGCCAGCTGGCCCCAGGGGACTTTGCTGGAAGTGTTATTTTTAAACATGGCTCCAGCGGGCGAGGCAGCAGCTCTGAAGGCCATGGCGAGACCACAGCCCTAGCAACATCCCGGCTTTCTCCATGCCAGGAGACCACAGCATGGAAACATCAGGGGAGGCTACTTGTTGTCCACATCCCGCCTGATGACCCTGTATGTGAAATTATGTCATGTCACCTGATGGTGTTTATGAACGTGTGCTGACCTTTCCCAGCTGGGCCACGGGGGAGGCTGCAGCCCAGACTCCCTACCCTGGGCACTGCTGGCGACCCTCCCCTCGGCCCACGTGCATACCGGGCACGGGCTCCACTCCGGCCCCTGCCAGCCGCAGCCCGCTTGCTCCAGCGCCTCCCGGCATCTCACAGTGCAGCAGCCCTGGGGTATTTTTAAACCCTGGCCTTGGCCAACCTCTTTGTCACATTCCGGCCGGGTGTGTAGGGGCGCAAGGGGTGGGATTCAGGGGACAGCAGACGTTTCATCGATTTGCAGGGACTGCAGTAGGCCTGGACCGTCCCCTGATGCAGACCAGAGGAGGCTCCCAGTCAAGGGGAGACGGAGCTGAGCACTAAAAGGGAGCAAAGATGTGATCACACCTCAGCCAGCTCTGGGGCCCAGAGTCGTGTCGACGAGCGAAGTGGCCCAGAGTGAGGCTGCAGGGCAGGGTGTGGACTGTGGGAAAGCGGCAAGCTCATGCCCTGCTCCTCCGCCCCCAGCCTCTGTTGTCAAGAGGGAATTGGCCCAGTGGGCCCAGGGCTTCTGGTTTCCCAAAAGAAGCTACAACTTTAGTGATGTGACATGTCATAAAAAATTGTTTTGAATGTGGGCAATGAATTTTTTAAAATGCTAAAAACATTCTGAAAGCCAAATGGAACCCATTAGTGAGCCGGACTCAGCTGACCAAGGCCGGCAGCCTGTGCTCCCTGTGTAGACGGGCGCATTACAGAACAGCCCGTCAGCGAGGACAGGCTAGGACCACAGTGAGCTCCCATTTTCCCGGAGACGGCCGGGGAAGATGGACACGATCCTGCCCTCAAGCAGCTTCTAGCCCGTGTTGCTGGAGCGGGCGCCTCTGGCTCATGAATCCTGCAAGCTAATTGTATGCGCAGCCGTCATTGAAGATTACATGATATGGCGCCAGCTGGTGGCATGGTGATTAAGGAGCTGGATTCCCACATGGCCAACTGCAGTTCGAGTCCTGGATCTAGTAGCTTGACGATTGCAACAAATAAATAGATAAATAAATTATTGAAAAAAATTACATCATATGGGGCCAGCTGGTGACATGACAGCTAAGGTGCTGGATCCTACACGGCTGACTGCATGGTTCGAGTTGCAGACCCGGCAGCTTGAGAAACATGCCAGACACGCTTGTGTGTGGTGTGTCCAAAATCCTAAGAGGAGGAGGGATTGTGGCATGGCCATTCCCCCAGGAAGGTGCTTTCTCTTTCTCCCTCTCTCTCCGCAATGAGTGTATGCACCCTATAACAATTATTTAAATTACATTATATTAATTAAAGAATTAAATAAATGAAATAAATTGTAATTAAAAACAAAGGTACAATTGCTGAAAACACACCCGTCTGCACTCACCCTAATCGTCTCTGTGTTCAATAGCCATGGCATCATAATAGCTCATACCCCGTGGTGGCCTTCCCAACTCCACGTTCGGTGAAGTCGCTCGGTAGCCTCACGTCGGCCATGAAGGGCATGTTTACACCATCGGAATTGGGCAGTGTAAAAGTCAAGGCTCCTCCTTGTCAGGAACCAGCTGCTGAATGTTCAGCAGCAAATCAGATAAATACAGCTCTGCTGATCAGGAGTTGTGTGTCAGATAGTCCTAACCACAGTGGAGGGAGATCAAGGTAGAGGGATGGACAGTGACGGAGGGGAGTGTTTGCGATGGGCAGTCATGGAAGGCTTCTCTGAGGAGGTGATGTTTGAGCAGAGACCTGAGCGAAGTGAGAGAGTAAGCCAGACAAGCAGCTAGCAGAAGTTTTAGGCAAAAGGAAGAGCAAGTTTCTTCCTAAAGGCAGAAACTACCTGCCAGTTCAGGGAGGAGGAGAGAGTGGCCAGATCAGAGCGAGCAGGGGAGAGAGAGGGATGAGGTGGAAGAGGCAGACAAGGGTTAGATCATACAAGATCTTCTAGACCTTGGTGAGGAGGACTTTATTTGAAGAGAAATAAAGAGGTGTGCAAAGTTTTGAGCAAAGGAGCGGCATGACTCGATTTACCTTCTGAAACGTTTCCTCTGACAGCGGTGGGTGGAGTGAAGGTGGAAGTCGGGAACACAGGATGGAGGAACCTCCTGCCATGGTCCAGGCAGGGAGGGCAGTGGTGGCTGTGAAAAAGGTGCTGAGGACAGAGATCAGGCTGCATCTGGTAGTCCAGCCACCAGGGCTTGTGACGGAGGGACTTGAGGGATGGGGGCGGGAACCGTGTGGTGCCCAGGGTCGGGCCTGAGCCCCGGTGGGAGTCCACTTCACGTGCTCAGCTGGGAAGATACGTGGATGGGAAGGATGTTAGGGGAAGTGAAGAGGTCCTCTTCGCAGCGTGAGGGCCTGGTGACACCCACTTCAAGGTGGGCTTGCTGTCGGAGGCACATGGTCGCTCTGGAGGTGAGGCCCTGCTGCTGCAGCAACCCTAGGCCAGGGCGGTGCACCGTGGACACCTCTCTGTGAAGGGTTGTTTCAGGAGAAGTTCTGGCAGGTGGAGACGAGGCAGCCCCGGGGAGGGCAGCAGCGACAACGGCCTGGGAGCAGAGAACAGCCAGGCCTTTTGGTCAGGGCTCCAGCAACAGGGAAGAGGCCGGAAAGGCAGGTAGGCAGACCATAAGCCGCTTCTTTCAGCTGGAGGAGGCCACGGCGTACCCCGGGCGCTGCGGTGAATCCTCGCAGACACAGGCCAGGAAGCACCTTCAGTAAGAGCACACGGTGTCCACTCCGGCCGTGGTTTGTCTGGGTGTTTGGCCCCAGCACCCCATCCCAGCATATGGAGCCGAATGCCTCCCAGTTACCCCAGAGCCTTTGCCATGCCAGCCAGCGTCTTGGAGGTACTTTGTCAATAAACCAAGAAAACAATAACCCTGGGGCAGGGAGGAGGGTCAAGGGAATATTCTGGAACATTTGTTTACTTGCTGGCTTCCCATAATCAAGAAAGTTCAGAGGTCACTTCCTGGGCCTGAAGGGGTGACCAAGGTGTTTGCAGGGTGTCTGTAACCAGTCCTGGGAGAGGCGGTGGGGAGGTGAGTTGCAGCTCTATGGCCTGGCCCTGTGCTCTCAGGCACCTCGTTCACCTTTCTGAGCCTCAGTCTTCCCATCTGTACAAGGGGTGTGACAGCACCACAGAGAGTCGTTACAATGGTTGTGACAGCACCACAGATCGTCGTTCGTCTATTCTCTGGAGTTGACAGGTGACACAGGTAACAGCCTGTCAGCCATTTGCCTCTGCGCCCGGCACTCGCTAAGCTGCCAGACCTGCCAGCCATCGAGCGTTGTTGGAAAGTTGTGAGTGGTTCTGGACACGTGCTGCACACCTGGCTCTGAGCCGCACGCGTTACCTAATTTAAGCTCCATTCTCTCCTGGGAGTGAAGATTTTCATCAGCTCTACTTTAGACAATGAGCCTCCGTGAATGGGCCCGGCCTGCCCGAGGTAAAATTGCTGGCAGGGACACAGCTGGGGTTCGAACCCTTATCCAACCTTAAAACCTGTTCTCATATTCTTCCATTCTGTGTTCTGCCTGCCTACGAGTGGAATCAGGTCCCAGAATTTTGGAAAGTGATAGTCTTTGACCCCTAGCATCCATTCACACAAGTGGGGACCCCTACCTTTCCTGGAGCCAGCTAGCTTGGGTGGCTGGCCTGGGTTGTAGACATAACTCAAATGGTGCCTGCCCCAGTCGGCTAGGGGCCTAGAGAAACAGAGCCATCCTGGTCCAGTCTGGGGCCTTCCTCTTGAGTCAGGAGACAAGCAGAGCACCCCTGTCCCATCAATAAACGTGCCCCAAAATAGCTCAGTGAGCTTGGCCAGGGCAGGAGGGCCAGGACGTCCTGTTCCCATCAGCTCTGGCCAGAGAGTGACCGTGTACTTGGCCTTCCTGGTCTGCTGGAAGGGAGGGCAGAGCTCATGCCGCCCAAGGCCTCGTGGGCATGATCTGGGCTTCCAGGCACCAAAAGCCGGCCCAGACACTGTGGAGCGTCCTGCACGCGCTGCTGGCCAGGCGGGGACTGTCGGTGGAACCGGGCCAACGTCTTAGCGGAGAGTCTCCCGGGAAGGTGTGGAGTGTGGGCTCCGGGGTCTGAAGGTGTGGGTTGAAATCCCAGCTGGGACGTGTCCTAGCTGTGCAACTTTGGAAAAAGTCACTCTCCCTCTCAAAGCCTTGATGTTCTCACCTGGAAAATGGGGTGACCTTTTTGTAAGGGGGCTGTTGGAGTTGCCGGGGAGTCTGTGTATACAGGGAACAGCCTGTACACCTGGCGGGTTATTTATTATCTGCTCCTTTCCCCCCCCCCCCGAAATGGGGGCCCCGCAA